CAGCTCATCCCTACTCATCCCTGCTCGACCCAGTTAGCTCAGCTCAGCCCTGCTCAGCCCAGTTAGCTCAGCTCAGCCCAGCTCAGCCCTGCTCAGCCCAGTTAGCTCAGCTCAGCCCTGCTCAGCCCTGCTCATCCATGCTCAGTTCTGCTCGAACCAGTTAGCTCAACTCAGCCCAGTTAGCTCAGCTCATTCCTACTCATCCCTGCTCGACCCAGTTAGCTCAGCTCAGCCCAGCACAGCCCTGCTCAGGCCATCTCAGCCCTGCACAGCCCTGCTCAGCTCAGCTCAGCCCATCTCAGCCCTGCTCAGCTCAGCTCAGCCCAGCTCAGCCCAGTTAGCTCAGCTTAGCCCAGCTCAGCCCTGCTCGACCCAGTTAGCTCAGCTCAGCCCAGCACAGCCCTGCTCAGCCCATCTCAGCCCTGCTCAGCCCATCTCAGTCCTGCTCATTCCTGCTCAGTTCTGCTCGAACCAGTTAGCTCAACTCACCCCAGTTAGCTCAGCTCATCCCTACTCATCCCTGCTCGACCCAGTTAGCTCAGCTCAGCCCAGCACAGCCCTGCTCAGCCCTGCTCAGCTCAGCTCAACCCTGTTCAGCCCAGTTAGCTCAGCTTAGCCCAGTTCAGCCCTGCTTAGCCCAGTTAGCTCAGCTCAGCCCTTCTCAGCCCTGCTCAGCCCTGCTCAGTTCTGCTCGAACCAGTTAGCTCAGCTCAGCCCAGTTAGTTCAGCTCATCCCTACTCATCCCTGCTCAGCCCTGCTCAGCTCAGGTAGCTAAGCTCAGCCCTGCTCAGACCAGCTCAGCCCAGTTAGCTCAGCTCAGCCCAGCTCAGCTCAGCCCAGCTCAACCCTCCTCAGATCAGTTAGTTCAGCTCAGCCCAGCTCAGCTCAGCCCAGCTCCGTCCTGCTCAGCCCATCTCAGTCCTGCTCAGCCCTGCTCAGTTCTGCTCGAACCAGTTAGATCAGCTCATCCCTACTCATCCCTGTTCAGCTCAGCTCAGCCCTGCTCAGCCCAGTTAGCTCAGCTCAGCCCAGCTCAGCCCTGCTCAGCCCAGTTAGCTCAGCTCAGCCCTGCTCAGCCCTGCTCAGCCCTGCTCAGCCCTGTTCAGCCCAGTTAGCTCAGCTCAGCCCTGCTCAGCCCAGTTAGCTCAGCTCATCCCTACTCATCCCTGTTCAGCTCAGCTCAGCCCTGCTCAGCCCAGTTAGCTCAGCTCAGCCCAGCTCAGCCCTGCTCAGCCCAGTTAGCTCAGCTCAGCCCAGCTCAGCCCTGCTCAGCCCAGTTAGCTCAGCTCAGCCCTGCTCAGCCCTGCTCAGCCCTGCTCAGCCCAGTTAGCTCAGCTCAGCCCTGCTCAGCCCAGTTAGCTCAGCTCATCCCTACTCATCCCTGTTCAGCTCAGCTCAGCTCTGCTCAGCCCAGTTAGCTCAGCTCAGCCCAGCTCAGCCCTGCTCAGCCCAGTTAGCCCTGCTCAGCCCAGCTCAGCCCTGCTCAGCCCAGTTAGCTCAGCTCAGCCCAGCTCAGCCCTGCTCAGCCCAGTTAGCTCAGCTCAGCCCAGCTCAGCCCTGCTCAGCCCAGTTAGCTCAGTTCATCCCTACTCATCCCTGCTCGACCCAGTTAGCTCAGCTCAGCCCTTCTCAGCCCTGCTCATACCTGCTCAGTTCTGCTCGAACCAGTTAGATCAGCTCAGCCCAGTTAGCTCAGCTCATCCCTACTCATCCCTGTTCAGCCCAGCTCAGCCCTGCTCAGCCCAGTTAGCTCAGCTCAGCCCAGCTCAGCCCTGCTCAGCCCAGTTAGCTCAGCTCAGCCCTGCTCAGCCCTGCTCAGCCCTGCTCAGCCCAGTTAGCTCAGCTCAGCCCTGCTCAGCCCAGCTCAGCCCTGCTCAGCCCAGTTAGCTCAGCTCTGCCCTGCTCAGCCCAGTTAGCTCAGCTCATCCCTACTCATCCCTGTTCAGCTCAGCTCAGCCCTGCTCAGCCCAGTTAGCTCAGCTCAGCCCAGCTCAGCCCTGCTCAGCCCAGTTAGCTCAGCTCAGCCCAGCTCAGCCCTGCTCAGCCCAGTTAGCTCAGCTCAGCCCTGCTCAGCCCTGCTCAGCCCTGCTCAGCCCAGTTAGCTCAGCTCAGCCCTGCTCAGCCCAGTTAGCTCAGCTCATCCCTCCTCATCCCTGTTCAGCTCAGCTCAGCCCTGCTCAGCCCAGTTAGCTCAGCTCAGCCCAGCTCAGCCCTGCTCAGCCCAGTTAGCTCAGCTCAGCCCAGCTCAGCCCTGCTCAGCCCAGTTATCTCAGCTCAGCCCTGCTCAGCCCTGCTCAGCCCTGCTCAGCCCAGTTAGCTCAGCTCAGCCCTGCTCAGCCCAGCTCAGCCCTGCTCAGCCCAGTTAGCTCAGCTCAGCCCAGCTCAGCCCTGCTCAGCCCAGTTAGCTCAGCTCAGCCCAGCTCAGCCCTGCTCAGCCCAGTTAGCTCAGTTCATCCCTACTCATCCCTGCTCGACCCAGTTAGCTCAGCTCAGCCCTTCTCAGCCCTGCTCATACCTGCTCAGTTCTGCTCGAACCAGTTAGATCAGCTCAGCCCAGTTAGCTCAGCTCATCCCTACTCATCCCTGTTCAGCCCAGCTCAGCCCTGCTCAGCCCAGTTAGCTCAGCTCAGCCCAGCTCAGCCCTGCTCAGCCCAGTTAGCTCAGCTCAGCCCTGCTCAGCCCTGCTCAGCCCTGCTCAGCCCTGCTCAGCCCAGTTAGCTCAGCTCAGCCCTGCTCAGCCCAGCTCAGCCCTGCTCAGCCCAGTTAGCTCAGCTCAGCCCTGCTCAGCCCTGCTCAGCCCAGTTAGCTCAGCTCAGCCCAGCTCAGCCCTGCTCAGCCCAGTTAGCTCAGCTCAGCCCAGCTCAGCCCTGCTCAGCCCAGTTAGCTCAGCTCAGCCAGCTCAGCCCTGCTCAGCCCATCTCAGTCCTGCTCAGCCCTGCTCAGTTCTGCTCGAACCAGTTAGTTTAGCTCAGTCTAGTTAGCTCAGCTCATCCCTACTCATCCCTGCTCAGCCCTGCTCAGCCCAGTTAGCTCAGCTCAGCCCTGTTCATCCCTGCTCAGCCCAGTTAGCTCAGCTCAGCTCAGCCCTGCTCAGCCCAGCTCAGCCCTGCTCAGCCCAGTTAGCTCAGCTCATCCCAGCTCAGCCTGGTTAGTCCAGCTCAGCCCAGTCTACCAGGTTCAGCACAGTTCTGGCCAGATCAGCCTAGTTAATACTGACCAGCTCATTCCAGGACCATCTAATCCATCTGCGCTCAGGCCAGTGTAGTCTGCTCAGCCTGGGTCAGCCCAACTCAGACTGACTCAACCCAGCCCTGCCTGGTTCAGCTCAGCAGCTGGTCCAGTCCGGTCCTCTTCAGCCCAGTTCGGTCTGGCTAGTGCTGTGACTCCGACTTGTTCCGCCTGGCTCTGGTCACTCAGCTCACCCAGTCGAACCGGTGATCTGCTCCCTGCAGCCTGTGCCGGGCTCTTCCCCGTGGGCAGATGGGGCCAGGAGAGCCGACACGCACCTGCGTGTGCTGGGGGTCTGGGTGCCCTGCAGGTCCACCTGTCTTCAGCAGCCCCCGACCTGTTCTGAGCGGTGTGACAGGCTGTGAGGGGCTCTCCAGGGAAGGACAGTGTCTGCCCACAGACGGGGTCCCTTGCCCACTTCCTGCCCGACGGCGGCCTCAGACAGGCCGTCTGCTCTCTGGTCAGGCTGTGGCGGGGCAGGTGCATGTGACCAGGGCTGTGGTCCCTGGGAACCTGTCTGTCTAGGTCATGCGGCCACTCATGGGTCTGGGCGGGGGCCACTGGGGGCCAGAGACACTGTGGTCAGGAATGTTAGCGTGTGACTGTGTCTCTGTGTGTGTGTCTGAGTGTGAATGTACCAGTGTAGCAGGGTGTGTGTCTGTGAGTGCGAGTTTATGTGTGAGTGTGCATCCAAGTGTGTCTGAGTGTGCCACTGGGTCCGAGTGTGAATGTACCAGTGTACCAGGGTGTGTGTCTGTGAGTGTGTTTGTATGTGAGAGTATGTCTCTCTGTGTCTGAGTGTGCCTCTGAGTCCAAGTGTGAATGTACCAGTGTACCAGATTGTGTGTCTGTGAGTGCGAGTTTGTATGTGAGTGTATCTTTATGTGTGTCTGAGTGTGTCTTTGAGTCTGAGTGTAAATATACCAGGATGTGTGTCTGTGAGTGCGAGTTTGTATGTGACTGTGTCTCTGTGTGTGTGTTTGAGTGTGCCTCTGAGTTTGAGTGTGAATGTACAAGTGTGTGTGTCTGTGTGAGTTTATATGTAACTGTGTCTCTGTGTGTGTCTGTGTGCCTCTGAGTCCAAGTGTGAATGTACGAGTGTGTGTGTTTGTGCGAGTGTGTATCCGAGTGTGTCTGAGTGTGAGTGCTGAGTCTGTGTGAGCAGGGGAGGGCAGAGGTGTGGTCTTGACTTCCAGATGTTCTTCCGGGATGAGCCCGTGTCTGCCCAGCCAGGCAGGTCATGGACAGCAGGGTCATGGCTGGACTGCAGCTGGTACCATGGCCCTGCCCCTGTGCCATCCCCTCTGTGGCCTTTCGGATGCCCCCTTCCCGCCTCAGCCCTGGGGTCCCTTCGGGTGTGGGGGACTGCTCACGGGGCACTCACTCTGTGCTGTGTTCTGGATTCCCCAGAGACCCTCGCATCTGTGGGAGCTGGAGGCCAGCATGGTGGGCACATAGGGACAGGGGCTGTCCCGGGGTCCGAGAGATGCCCCTCCCTCTGTTCTCCCACAAGTCACCTCCCAGCTCCCGCAAGGTGGCAGGAACCCTCAGGCAGAGGATGTGGAAAGACCTTTACTTGGCCCCAAGGGAAGGGACAGGAGAGCAGGGTGGCAGGGCTGGGCCCGAGGGTGGCACGGCCCAAGGGGCTGGATGGGAGGGCTGGCGGGGCCTCCCAGGGGCCGCCCGGCTGGCTCCACCGGCTCTGAGGACACGGTGCTGAGGGGCCGTGCGGCGGGCTCTGCCGTCCAGGGCTGGTGCTTCCTCCCGGGCACTATGCTGCCGGCCACGGGATGTTGGTGTAGTCATGGGAGGTCTTGGGGGGCTCCTGCGCCCCCACCATCAAGGTCCGGTGCACCTGCGGGGGTGGGGACTCAGGGCTGCCCTCTGGGGGCACCCCTGTGCCCCCGCGGCCCTGTGCCCACCTTGCAGAGGGTGACAGCGGCACCGTAGCCGACGCTGAGCATGAAGAGGGTGATGAAGGCGAGGAGGCTGCTCCACAGCCCGGCCAGCTCCAGGCTCTCGGCCGCGTCCACGCACATGTCCTGCAGCACCAGCTCTGCAGGCACCGGCTGTCAGCCAGCCTGGGGGGGCTCCGGCCCTACCCGCCCCCGCCTGCCCCTGCGTCCCACCGCCCAGGACCTCAGCCTTGCTGGTCACCAGGCCGGCATGCCTGGGTCCTCCCCTGCTCCCCTGACCATCTGGGGACTCCCGAAGTGGCAGGAACCCCCTGAAGGAGAGGGGGAGCAGGGCTGTGGGAGCCCACAGCCGCCCCACTGCCCCCGTGGTCCCCATGTATGTCTGCCGAGCCGGGGGTGGGCATGGGGGCTGGCTCCGTGGGATGAGGCATGCCACGGGCCACGTGGCCCTGCACCCGATGTGTGCACAAGTGTGCTCTGTGTCTGTCCACGAGCAGGCCTGCTTGTGTGTGCATGTGTGTATGCATGTCTGTGCGGAAACTCCTGTGTGTCAATATGTCACGTGTTTATGCATATGCATATCTGAGTATGTGCTGGTATTCATGGGGAGCTGGACGTGCAGTGACCGAAAGGAACCTCTGGGGAAGAGTGTCCCACCTCCCCTGACCCATGATGTGGGGGAAGGGCCGGGGTGGCCTGGATAGTGTGTGGGGGGCTAAGTGTGGGGCATGTATGGGGCAAGTATGGGGACATGTGTGTGTGGGCATGTGTGGGGGGCGCCATGTGAGGGACTGTGGGGGGGCATGTGTGTGTGGGGGGCATGTGTGTATGTGGCCATGAGTGTGACCATGTGTGGGGCAATGTGGGGCATGTGTGTTTGGGGGCCTTGTGTGAGGGCATGTGTGTATGTGGGGGAGCATGTGTGTATGTGTGGCCATATGTGTGTGTGGCCATGTGTGAAGGCATATGTGTGTGGGGGGGCCGTTTTGGGGGAACATGTGTGTATGTGGCCATGTCTGGGGCAATGTGTGTGTGGGGGCCTTGTGTGAGGGCATATGTATGTCTGTGGGGCCATGTGGGGGACATATGTGTGTGTGTGGGGTCAGGTGGGAGGCATGTGTGTGTGGGGGGCATGCATATATGTGGCCATGCGTGTGGCTATGTGTGAGGGCATGTGTGGGGCAATGTGTGTGTGGCCATGTGTGAGGACATGTGTGTGTGTGGAGGGGCCATGTGGGGGATGTGTGTGTGGGGGCATGTGTGGGGGGGCATGTGTGTGTGGGGGGGCATGTGTGAGGGCATGTGTGTGTGGGGGCCTGTGGGGGGCATGTGTGTGTGGGGGGCATGTGTGTATGTGGCCATGCGTGAGGCCATGTGTGGGGCAATGTGTGTGTGTGTGGCCGTGTGTGGGGGCATGTGCGTGTGTGTGGGGCCATGCATGTGGGGCCGTGTGTGTGAGGGGCCATGCGTGTGGCTTAGTGTGTGGGGCTGCCTGGGGGTGCTTGGAGGGGCCGTGTGCCCTGGCAGGTGCCTGACTGAGGCGGGGTATGTTGGTGGCCGTGTGGCGACATGTGGGGGAGGTGCTTCTGGGAGCTGCTCCCTCTCCCCAGGCCGCTCGGGTGGCCGTGGGCCCGGGTGTATCCGGCTGGACTTGGGGGGAGGCTGAGCATCGACCCAGGCTGGGCGTCAGGGGCCCGTCCCCAGGAGCCCCGAGAATGTGGCCAGGACGCAGGGCTCAGCGTGTTTATTGTCCCCGGGGAGGGTGGCAGCCCCACGGCCGCTCATTTACCGCGGGCCTTGGACAGCGACCGGTCCAGCGTGCGGGGCTGGGGCAGCGCCTCGTGCACGGCCCGGCAGGAGAAGGTGGTGCCCTTCTCCCAGTCCTGCCGGGCCACCTCCAGGCGGCTGAAGACGAAGAAGCGGGTCCCGGCTCTGCTCATCGGCTGCGGCTGCGTGGTGGCCTGATGCTCCGCGCCCTCGTGGGCCTGGTCCCGCAGCCACAGCACCGAGATGTCCGCGGGGAAGAAGTTCTGGACCAGGCAGGTGAGGGTCACCTTGTTCGTGCTGGCCGCACCCTCATCTGGAGTCTTGAACACGTAGATCTCAGGGGCTGCCCGCTGGCCTGTGGGAGGGCGAGGTCAGCCCCGCTCAGCCCCACTCTGTCCCATCGGGCTCACGGCCCGCCCCGCCCTCGGCAGGCCCCGCCCACTCCCCGCCCCGCCCACAACCCGCTCCGGCCCCGCCCTCGCCCCGCCCACCCCCCTTGCTGACACCCCCGCCCAGCTCTGCCCTCGACCAGGTCCTGCTCAGGCCCCTCCCAAGCCCTGCCCAGCCCTGCCTCACCGGCTCACATCCCGCCCTGCCCCCGCCCCCTCCTCATGCCCTGTCCCCCTCGCACCCCCTTGCCCGACCCACCCGTGCCCACGCCCCAGGCCCAGCCCCACCCTCACCCACCCCTTCCCGCCCACCTTGCCCTCGCCCCGCCCACTTTGCCCTCGCCCCGCCCTCGCCCCGCCCACCCGCTTACCCGGGTCTTGGCGAGGGAGCACACGATCTTCCTGGGCAGGTCCGGATGCTCCAGCACGCACTGGAATGTCTCGCCCTCCACCCAGTCCTGGGTGAGCACGGCCAGGGTGGACGTGACACTCAGGGTGCCATTGTGGTGCCGCTTCGTGAATGTCATGGCTTTTCCGGTGGAGGTTTTGCCCCCCTGCAGCCACCTGAGGCTCATGCCGTCCTCCCGGGCCAGGTCCACCACCAGGCACGTGAGCTTGGGCGCCTTCTGCACGTACAGCTCGACAGGGCTGGGCGGGCTCAGGTAGACGCGCACGCCGCGGGGCTCAGGGTCTGGGGGTTGCAAGGTCAGCGTGAGCCCCGGGGAGCCTGGGGGCCAGGCGGGGCCGGCAGGGCGGGCGGGCAGTAGGGGCGTACCTGAGCACTTGCGGGCGTGCTCCTCAAAGTTGTGGCCTTCGTAGGTGGCCCGGCAGGTGTAGGTCCTCTCCGAGACCCACTGGCCCTGGGTGATGTTTACCTCGCTGTAGGTGGAGGACAGCCCGTCCTCCTGCTTCAGGGTGCCCACGTAGGGGGCTATGCTGTTGGACTCTTCCTCGTCCACCAGCCAGGTGACGCTGACGTTCTCGGCAGGGACGCCCAGGATGAGGCACAGGAGCTGGATGGGGGTGCTGGTGTCGCCGCTGGGGTTGCAGGAGGAGTGGAAGAGCTTACGGTGAGGCGGGGGATGTTATTGCGGCAGGCTGGGTGGAGGGGGGGAGTTGGCGCCAGAGGCCCCCAGACTCACTCCTACACCCGGACGAGCCCCCGGCTGCGCTGCTCACCTGAGAAGGTCCTGTTGGAGGGCGGGGACGCCCCATGCACCACGCTGCAGGTGAAGGTCCCCGAGGCCTGTGCCCCCGGGACTCTCAGCTGGCTGACGGTGGTGTAGAGGCCAGAGGAGTGCAGGGAGGCGGGGAGGGTGACCACGCTGCTCTGCAGGGCACCTGTGTCCCAGGTCACGGCCACAGGCTCCGGGAAGAAGCCGGTGACCAGGCAGCCGAGCACCACAGCCGAGGCGGCAGCAGCATCTTTGCAGCAGGAAGCCAAGGGGAAGACGGATGGGGCCTTGCTGGACACTGGGGCAAGGACAGTGAGTGTGAACGCGGGCACCACCTGGCATCTGCAGCCCAGCCTTGGCCCTGGCTTCTCCCTTCCTGGTCCCTGTCCGGGGCACTGGACCCTTTATGGATCTGGGCATCTTACTCCCCTCTGATGCTGCTGAGTCCCTGCGTGCCTGAGGTTCCGTGATGGGCCCAGAGCAGCCTGGGCCAGCAGCCCACCTCGTCCCCGCTGGGATCAGGAAGCGCCTGGGGTGCTGGGGGTCACTGCCCTCCTGTGGCCCCCACTGGGTCAGGGGCCCCAGAACCCCCAAGCCTCCGGGCTCCCCCTTTCCACCCCAGGCTGGGGGCAGAGGTCCCTTCTGGGCCCTCAGTGCGTCTGCAGCTACCCCGCCCCAGGTCCTGTCCCTGCTGGGGCTCAACTGCGCAGCCCCCATGCACACCCCTCTATGGGTTAGCCTGGTGCTGCCCCTTACCGCTCGTGTCAACGGGCTGACCTCTACACCCACGCAAGGGTCCAGGGCCCCATGAAATCGCCCCTCAACCCTCCTCAGGTGAGGCGGCCTTCACACCACATTGGGCTCCTTGGTCTGAGATTAACAAGCTTGATTCCTCGGCTTGACTCCCACCTCACTTGGAACACCCGAGAACAGCTGCTTCCTCAGGTCCCGCTTTGAGGAGGATAGGGCCTTCATCAGCCGAGCCGAGCCTGCCTAAGTCAGCTCTGTCCAGGTAAACCCAGGTCAGCACAGCTCAGCCCAGCTCAGTCCTGCTAAGTCTAGCTAAGCCCAGTTCAGCCCAGCTCTGTCCAGCACAGTCTTGCTCAGTCTAGCTAAGTCCAGCTCAACCCAGCTCAGCCTAGTTCAGTCCAACACACTATGCTCAGTCTTGGTCATCCCAGCTTAACCCAGCTTAGTTGAGCTCAGCCCAGCTTAGCCCTAAAGTTAGCTAGGCTCAGCCCTGATACGTCTTGCTCGTGCCAGTTAGCTCAGCTTAGCTTATCCTAGCTCAGTCCAGCTCAGCCAAGCTCAGCCCAGCTCAGCCCAGCTCTGTTCTGCTCAGCCCAGCTAAGTGCAGCTAAGTCCTGCTCAGCCCAGTTTAGTCCTGCTCAGCCCAGCTCAGTCCTTCTCAGCTCAGCTCAGCCCAGCTCAGTTCTGCTCAGCCCAGTTCAGTCCAGCTCAGCCCAGTTCAGTCCTGCTCAGCCCAGCTGAGTCCTACTCAGCCCAGCTAACCCAGCTCAAACCAGCTCAGTCCTGCTCAGCCCAGCTCAGCCCAGGTATCTCAGCCCAGCCCAGCCTAGCTCAGCCCAGCTCAGTCCAGCTCAGCCCAGCTCAGTCCAGCTCAGCCCAGCTCAGTCCTGTTCAGCTCAGCTCAGTCCAGCTCAGCCCAGCTCAGTTCTGCTCAGCCCAGCTCAGTCCAGCTCAATCCAGCTCAGTCAGCCCAGCTCAGCCCAGCTCAGTCCTGCTCAGCCCAGATCAGTCCAGCTCAGCCCAGCTCAGTCCTGCTCAGCCCAGCTCAGTCCTGCTCAGCCCAGCTCAGTCCAGCTCAGTTCAGCTCAGTCAGCCTAGCTCAGTGCAGCTCAGTCCTGCTCAGTCCTGCTCAGCCCAGCTCAGTCCTGCTCAGACCTGTTCAGCCCAGCTAGTCCAGCTCAGCCCAGCTCAGTCCAGCTCAGTGCAGCTCAGCCCAGCTCAGCCCTAAAGTTCTTTCAGCTCAGCCCTGCTGAGCCCTGCTCAGCCCAGTTAGCTCAGCCCAGCTCAGTCCTGCTTAGCCCAGCTCATCCCAGCTCAGTCCTGCTCAGCCTAGCTCAACCCTGCTCAGTCCTGCACAGTCTTGCTCAGTCCAGCTCATCCCAGCTCATCCTAGCTCAGCCCAGTTAGCTCAGCTCAGCCCAGCCGAGCCCAGCCTAGCTCAGCCCAGCTCAGCCCAGATCAGTGCAGCTCAGTCCAGCTCAGTCAGCCAGCTCAGTCCAGCTCAGCCCAGCTCAGTCCTGCTTAGCCCAGCTCATCCCAGCTCAATCCTGCTCAGTCCAGCTCAGTCCAGTTCATCCCAGCTCATCCCAGCTCAGCCCTAAAGTTCGCTCAGCTCAGCCCTGAAGAGCCCTGCTCAGCCCAGTTAGCTGAGCTCAGCCCAGCCCAGCCCAGCCTAGCTCAGCCCAGCTCAGCCCAGCTCAGTCCTGCTCAGCCCAGCTCAGTCCAGCTCAGCCCAGATCAGTCCTGCCCAGCTAGCCCTAAAGTTCGCTCAGCTCAGCCCTGATAAGCCCTGCTCAGCCCAGTTAGCTCAGCCCAGCTCAGTCCTGCTTAACCCAGATCATCCCAGCTCATACTGCTCAGTCCAGCTCAGTCCAGCTCAGCCCAGCTCAATCGAGCTCAGTCAGCTCAGCTCAGTCCTGCTCAGCCGAACTCAGTCAGCCCAGCTCAGTCCTGCTCAGTCCAGCTCAGCCCAACTCAATCCAGCTCAGTCAGCTCAGCTCAGCCCAGCTCAGTCCAGCTCAGCGTAGCTCAGCCCAACTCAGTCCAGATCAGTCCAGCTCAGCCCAGCTCAATCCAGCTCAGTCAGCCCAGCTCAGTCCTGCTCAGTCCAGCTCAGCCCAACTCAATCCAGCTCAGTCAGCTCAGCTCAGCCCAGCTCAGTCCAGCTCAGCCCAGCTCAGCCCAGCTCAGTCCAAATCAGTCAGCTCAGCTCAGTCCAGCTCAGTCCAGCTCAGTCCTGCTCAGCCCAGTTCAGTCCTGCTCAGTCCTGCTTAGCTCAGCTCAGTCCTGCTCAGCCCAGCTCAGTCCAGCTCAGTCCTGCTCAGTTCAGCTCAGTCCTGCTCAGTCTTGCTCATCCCAGCTGAGTCCTACTCAGCCCATCTCAGCCCAGTTAGCTAGCTCAGCTCAGCCTAGCTCAGCCCAGCTCAGTCCAGCTCAGCCCAGTTCAGCCCAACTCAGTCCAGTTCAATCCAGCTTAGTCCAGCTCATCCCAGCTCATTCTAGGTCAGCCCAGCCCACTCCTGCTCAGCCCAGCTCCGTCCAGCTCAGTCCTGCTCAGCCCAGCTCAGTCCAGCTCTGTCCAGCTCAGTCCTGCTCAGCTCAGCCCTGCTCAGCCCACCTCAGTCTAGCTCAGTCCTGCTCAGCCCAGCTCAGTCCAGCTCAGTCCTGCTCAGCCCAGCTCAGTCCAGCTCAGTCCAACTCAGTCCTGTTCAGCCCAGCTCAGTCCAGCTCAGTCCAGCTCAGCCCAGCTCAGTCCAGCTCAGTCCAGCTCAGTCCTGCTCAGCCCAGCTCGGCCCAGTTCATTCCTGCTCATCCCAGCTGAGTCCTACTCAGCCCGTCTCAGCCCAGTTAGCTAGCCCAGCTCAGCCTAGCTCAGCCCAGCTCAGTCCAGCTCAGCCAGTTTAGCCCAACTCAGTCCAGCTCAATCCAGCTGAGTCCAGTTCATCCCAGCTCACTCTAGGTCAGCCCAGCCCATTCCTGCTCAGCCCAGCTCAGTCCAGCTCAGCCCAGCTCAGTCCAGCTTAGTCCTGCTCAGCTCAGCCCTGCTCAGCCCAGTTCAGTCCAGCTCAGCCCAGCTCAGCCCAGCTCAGTCCAGCTCAGCCCAGCCCAGTCCTGCTCAGTCCAGCTCAGCCCAGCACAGTCCTGCTCAGTTCTAGCAGGAGCTCTCCCAGTCCTTCTCTGTCCAGCTCTGTCTAGCTTAGTTCTCAGCCCAGGCCAGCGGCTCAGTCCTGACAGCTCAGCCCAATTCAGAGCACTGCAGTTCAGCTAGCTCAGCCCAGCCCTGCTCCTCCCAGTCTGTCTGTCTCTACTCTGAGAGTGTCCCATTCCCTGTGAGTGTCTGTCCCTCTGTCACCGTCTGACTTCGTCCCTGTCTGCCCCTGCTGCAGTGGCCCAGGCAGATGCGCTTGTCCTGCATGGACCTGTGACAGTGGTTGTGCCCACAGGTCGCCCACGATGGGGTCTCTGGCATTCCAGGATGGTCCTGGCTGTGGGTGCAGGAGGAGGGCGGGTGTGGGTGACAGGCAAACCGTCTGGGGATGGAGCAGGACCCCTGAGCCTGTGGCGATGGGGAAGGTCACCGCACAGCCCAAGCAGGAATGGGCAGGCAGCAGCCCAGGGTGACCAGGTGTGGATGGGCCTGGTGTGAAGGGAATGGAATGGCCTAGTGTGACTGGGCGTGTATGGGGCTTGGTGTGACCGGGTGTGGATGGGGCCTGGTATGACTTGGCAGATGTCGGCTGTATGGTCCGGGCCTGCCCATGGCTGACTTGGCTGACGTTGCTTGTGTCCAGCAGGTCCAGCAGGCCAGCCTCACTCCTCTGGACCGGGTTCGTCCTCCTAAGCCAGGCCCGGTCCGAGGCAGCTGACACAGCGGCCTGGCCCTCCAACTCCCCCGGCTGGTGCCGCGGCCCAGTCCCCTGCCCAGGCCCACCTGCCTGGCGTGGCTTTGGGACTCTGGTCTCAGAATAGCAGTTTCTGCAGCTCGCTATGACTCAGAGGCCCCAGGTGCCGTGTGGGGCATTTTGGCAGGTGATGGGTGTCAGAGACAGAAAGAGAAAAACAAGAGGCGTACACGTCCGCCCCCTCCTGTCTCCCCGCACCCCTGTGGCAGGCCCGGGGCAGGGGTCTGCCCCTGGGCCCAGCAGGGATTCTCCTTGGCAGACGCACCTGAAGCCCCTGCTCAGCCCCACAGACCCCTGGGCTGGGGTCAGGGGTCAGAGGGCAAGGGGGTGAATCCTCCCAGGCCCTTCCTGAAGATTCAGCCAGTACCAGGGTTGGGAACAGGCAGGGGCAGACTGGTGGCTACTAGGAACAGGGTCCAGATTCACTGAAGGCCTGAGGTGAGGTAGGGGAGGGATGACCAGCACAGGCCTCCACAGAACATGACCAGGACTCAGGGACCAGGACAGGCCCAGTGCTGAGTCTTAGATCTGTACAGATTCTAGTGGCCAGGGTGAGGCTCCAGATAACTGCACCAGACCCAGAGATTAAACCAGAATTTAGTGACCGGGTCTAGTGACTAGGACACATGATCAGAGGACAGCTCATTCCCCAGGATAAGGGGCCCATGACCAGAAGGTGTGAGTGGCCTCAGCACTGGGGCTCACTAATCAGGATGTGGGCCAGGACCCGAAACAGGGCTGAGTGACCAGGCTAAGTGATCAACAAGGCTAAGTGATGAGGACAGGGCTGAGTGGTCGACCAGGGCTGAGTGATCGGGACCAGGGCTGAGTGATCAACTAGGACTGAGTCATCAATGAGGACTGAGTGATCAACCAGGACTGAGTGATCAACTAGTGCTGAGTGACCAGGACCGGCTAAGTGATTAGGATAGGGCTGAGTGATCAACCAGGGCTGAGTCACCAATGAGGACTGGGTGACCGGGACCAGGGCTGAGTGATCATCTAAGGGCTGAGTGATTGGGACCAGGGCTGAGGGATCAACTAGGATTGAGGCATCATTGAGGGCTGAGTGATCGTGACCAGAGCTGAGGGATCAATTAGGACTGAGTGATCAACTAGGGCTGAGTGATTGGAACTAGGGATGAGTGATCTGGTCCAGGCTGAGTGATCAACTAGGGTGGAGTAATCAACCAGGACTGAATGATCAGGTCCAGGACTGAGTGATCAGGTCCAGGACTGAGTGATCAACCAGGACTGAGTGATCAGGACCTGGGCTGAGTGATCGAGGCCAGGGCTGAGTGATCAACCAGACTGAGTGATCAA